CCTTTCCTAACAATAAAGCCTTTAATTTGCTTAATAACCTTAAAACAGATTACAAATTATATTTCAAATAAGGCATATTTCAGAAATTTTAAAACCAAATGTAGGCCTTAACGGAAATGATATCGGCAGCTACATACAGCATGATTTTATTGATTGAAATAATAATACATTTGTTTTCAGCTGCTTACATAATATGCTTCTATGTACAAAGGAAAAGGTAAATAATACTGTACTAGTAAATACTGACATAGTATGTGGGCGATCGAGTATCCAGGGTTTCTGTGAGGGTAAGGTACCTGTCTCTTATACACATCTAGATGTGTATAAGAGACAGTTATTATATTGACTACTTTTTTAGATGAGAATACAATACCAAAGAAAACCAATATTATTATCCGAAAGTCAGTTTAATCAGATTTTCCTGTCTACATCCGGTGATTGAAATTGTCACATGGATCACCTGCATATTTGTCGGATTCCATTGATATTATATTACATTCTACTATAAAATGCGTTCGCGAATTTAGCAATTGATTTTTTGAGTAAGCAGTGCTATACCGTAGGTCTTATGGTTGCTCTAGTATTAACTGGCTATAGTTATGAGTAGAATAGTAGTAGTAGTAGTAGCAACTGCAGCGGCAACAGCAGTAGAATTAGAGATATCATAGGACTATCACCAGTATTTGAACGATAGCAAGTAAAAACTATCCAATAATGCTAAATTGGGAAGGGCCTACACTTAGTGACATTGTCTCCTGCTCTTTTCAATACATTCTCTAACGTGCAAAAAAGCCATGTTCAGCCAGGAATCCATCGGCTTAAGCCTGGACTCCATAAAATCGCTACACTGTTGATACAATGTTTTCACTCACTGAATCGCGTAGTCAGTACCGTAGCTGTCCTCACCGCATCGGAAAGGCGCCCCAATTAGACTGGACAATCAGCGTCACCGAAAGCTGTCGACGATATCGTTCAGTAATTTTATGGACACTAAAGGTATTCTAGAAGAAAGTGCTTAGGCCTACAAGGAAAGCATTAGATTGTGGAATAGAACCAGGACTGCAATACGTGATTTGATATTGTGTACATTTAAACTAGGCGAGTGAGCTGATCAGCGTAGAGTATCTGTTGAGTAGTGGGGAAGACACTCTTTCGGAAAAAATGTTTGTGCTCCTTCTTCCAAGCTCATAGGTGAAGTGGGGGATCGATGATCAGTTGAGGGGCGTTAATTCGCAAAATAATGTGATTTTTAACTACTTGACCATGATTTTTAAGGGGCGGGGGATGAGGAGGTGATGGCGAGAGTAATATTTTAATAGGACCCTCTAGACGCTCGGAAATGCACTCTCAGGTGGTGTAAAAATTCTTTTTCAAAGCAGTGTTCCTTGACAAAGTTTTTGACTTCCTCCCGACGGGATCTATGCTCCCCCTCCCTTAGACACCCTCCTCTCACGGGCGTCGCAAAGGTCTAATCAAGGACCTATAATAATAGTCTACCGTATTTTATGCTGGGAGTCGCAAAGCAAATTATGATTATGGCACCTCTAGATGCCCGAAAATGGCACTCATTCAGACTTAAAATTTGAATTTTTTATCTCCATTTGTTAAACATGTTGATAAATGTAGGGGGGTCCCACTGGACTGATATGATAAATGTCCTACAGTCGATGTCAGAGACACATTATGCTGTTATGTATAACAAATTCCTTTTGGATCAGGGTGCTGTAGAGCAAGGACCCTATGGGTAGGGGCACCGAAGGGGCCCCTAAGGGCCGGTGGCCCTAGCCGGCTGACCATTGAGCATGGATAGCTATTCTATAGCTGGGTACTACATTTCGTAATAATGGCTAACAAAACACACTCTCCTCAATTTTTTCTCCCTCTTTTTTATTTTTCGGCGTGATTGACGGGGGAGGGGGGCACTCCCCACCCACCCCCTCCCCACTGGATCCGCCCCTGTTCAGTTCAGAACATTACTCTTGGCATCCTCCTCGAGTGCTAGTTTCCTGCATGATGTTGTCTATTCTCATCGTTGGACTTTGTTGATTGTCCTGTTGGATAAAACTGATGTTTCTAATCGCGTCAAACAAGCCAAGCAGTTTGAATTCGAGTCTTGACATTTGTAGATAGCTCTCATGATCTGATAGATTACTTTTCCAAATCCTACCTTCTAAATTCGTCAAAGTTTATTGGGTTTCCATAGAAGTTGACCCATTTTATAACTATTAATAGTGTAATTTCAAATAGGCCTCATATTTTAGGCTAATGATTTCTTGATTATTCTATTTCTGTTCATCAGAGTATATTATTAACTGTAGCTATTACGTAATCATTGCATCATTTTTTTTCTATTCTCAATACTTAATAATTCTTTATTGTCCATTCATATAAAACAGAAATGTAATTTCAACTGGCATAAGCCTACTACACATTTACAAATTTAACAACAAAAGCACATCATCCATAACAAAAAAAAAATTATTCAATACACAAGTTAAAGGTTACTTAAATTGCACAACAGAATCATCATTTATCAAATACCTACTAGTTCCATTCTGGTTTAGTCTCAATATTTTTTCGGGATGAATGTTAAGTTTTTTAACTACTGTATAGTGCGATTTAAGAGAAATAGAATTCGAAAAATACAAGCTAGGTCTATACTCTAGGACCAGATACAAAAGGAGAAAAAGGCGACTGACTGAATCAATCAATCAATCAATCGATTTATATGGTTCATAAACAATAATCAGCAGGCCTATGCGTCGATAAAAATGTCAATGCGTCAGCATTGAGGCAAAAATAAAGCGAGATCGATGGGATGCGAGACGCAGCATATGGATAGAATATATACACTAAAATCGTAAGATAATAAAATGTGCAGGAATAGTCTACATGTAAGATGTTATAGATTAGGCCCACGAGTAGGGCCGTTACTCTCCCACATGTTTTGCTTAATTGCGACAATTGACATTTTATGATGTTTAATCTACGTTTATGAAGATGACCACCAATAACAATTTGTAGATAATGATTTCAATTATTAACCAGTAAAGACGAACACGCTGATTAGTATCTATTGAATTGTCCGATAAAGATCTACTGCACAAGATATCCACGTGATAATCCAATGAACACGCTGCCATTCTTATGAATATTCTAATGAGATTCTTATGAATATTATAATGATTATCTTATGAATGTTATAATACAGATTTAATACTCCGATTAGTATCTGTTAAATTGTCGGATAAGGATCTGCTGCACAGGATAGTCCCACGTGATAATCAAATGAACACGCTGTCATTCTTATGAATATTCTGAGATTCTTATGAATATTATAATGATTATCTTTTGAATGTTATAATACAGATTTAATTAATGTTATGAGGCATAGAGACCAGTATACCGGGGTAACCCCCTTATCTTTTTGAAGGATGTACTGGGTTCTTTAAAGTGCACACGAGCCTATTGTGTACACTGGGCCTACAGTTTAGCGTCCTTATCCGAGAAGACCTGATCCACCACCAGAACCTCAGATGAGCGTGAAGTTTGAACCAGCGCGGATATTATGGCTGTAGGTTGTTTGCCATTCTTTTTGCCCTCTCGTAACTATAATAATTTATTATCTGTTTTATAATTGTGTGGATATTCTAATGTTATTTAATGTTTAATGTATTGTAATGTAATAGCTTTTTAAAATGTGGTGGGTCGGTTGCAATATGTTTTATTCAATATCACACATCCATTAAAAAATTGGCCAAATCAAATTCCTTAGAAGCCCAGGCTGAGAATTATTTTTTTTTGTAAAATATGTGTTTATTAAAAAATTAAAAACTTTACAAATATTCCAATGGTAGTGCTATAAATAGTATAAAGCCATATAAACAGAATACAGATATAATTATCAGAATAATTATACTATTTATAGCCCCTAGCTAATAATATTCTGATTGTCTTGAATCATGGTCTTATAAATGAAATCCTATATATATATGTTTTAATGATAATGACATGAAAATAGTAATGTATTATACTATGATATTATAAATATCACTATCATAGTTCTATAAATATTCTAATGAGTATCTTATGAATATCTTTAAAGACAGTTCTATCAATATTCTAATTAGGGTCTGAATATAGTAACATAGTTAATATAACAGTATATTAACAGTTTCTTGAAAGTTTTAATATTTTAATATAATGAACCATTGCTGTTTTTAGTGTTTATATGTCTTTTAATATACCTATTTTTTTTTTACTTTTTATTTTATTCTTGCCTTAATATATATTTGAGCACTTATTGGACAAATAAAGTGAATTACTTTTGGCAACATAGCCAGCTCTGCAGAATATTTATTAT